GAGCCTCCAGGAGCTGGGCTGGACCAGGCCCCAGGTGGCAGGTGCTCCTGACCCCATGGCTGCCCCCAGGTCTGGGTGGGTGGGAGGCTCCCAGTGCCATGGCCTCCCTGACTCCACTCTGTTTGGTGGCTTGGCGTTCCCTGCCAGCCAGATGCCCTCCGCCACTGCCGCCGCTGGGTCACCTCGGGGCTGCTCTTTGATCTTGGGCTCACACGCAGACATGCTTACACACGCGTGTACACCCCCTGCCTCCACGCCCAGGCACTCCCCGGCCCCTCACCCTCCTGTCTATCCTTCCCAGCGTGGGGTGAGGTTGGGGCCTCAGGCAAGGGGAATACCACTGCTCTCACAGTTGGCAGGGACCCCAGGCCACTGGGATCCAGGCTGGATGATGAAAGCAAACAGACGAGGGGTTCTGTGTTTACTTCTCAGGGACAACGCAGGCCTTGACTCAGTGCCTGCTTGCTGCCACCACCCTCCTCTTCTAGCTGCCGACTCAAGACTTCGGAGACGGAGCTGGAGGTGGTAGGATGAATGGAGTTGCGAGTGAGGGACACAGCTTGGCACAGATGGGAGGCACTGTGAATGTGGATGTATGCACACAATTGTGAAGCTAACTCTCTCCTATACACACACGGACCGAGATACACAATGACGCCTCCGCATCATCACACACCCATGGACTCCCACTTGAGACAAACGTCTGTAGGCACCTATGTAGACACAAACACACACCTGAGACCCCTTAGCATCACACGTATAAAGCCAAAGCCATAACACTCCACGAGAGAGAGGGCCCCCAGGTGCACAAACACTCATCACTCAAGTCACTCCCCCCCCGCCCCCCCCCTCACGCGCTCGGTGGCAGAGGCAGCTCCCTATTCTGGAAAAGATCTTAGATGGAGAATCAGCAACACCACAGCAGCCTAGGTGACCCAGCTCAGCCTGTCAGGCCTCAGTTTCCTCATCTGTCAAATGGGGACAACAGTCCTCACCCTGTTGACCCCTGGGGCTGTTGCGAGGTGGGAAGCAGAATAAGTCTGGGATAAACGGAGCCACCACCGAAGGCCCTTGCTAGACAGAAGTCACAGGCACACGCTGAGGGGTTCTCCGGGCAGGGGCTCCAGAACAATGGGGACCCCCGCCCCCATATCACCCTTCTTCCTGTCAGAGAGCAGGCCTTCCCCTCCCCCCATGCCTGAGGGAGACAGAAGGGAGGAGGGCCTTCAGCCCAAGGACGCCAGCCGGGTTGGCAAGGGTTAAGTGGCAGCTGCCAGGCGGGGCTGAGCTGAGCAGTTTGGTTTGAGGGCTGCGTGCAGGCAGGAGCAGCAAGGCGGCAGCCGGCAGACTTGCTGGAGACACTGCATTTTATTAGGGCTGGGCTGCCAGCAAAGGGAGGGAGAGGGAAAAAAAGGGCAGAAAGAGAGAGGAAGGAAGGAGGGAGGCTGGGCGGGCAGGCTGGCGGGCGGGCTGCTGCGGGATGAAAGGATGTTGTAAGCTCCTAATTCCACCCTGCTCATCCCTGCTCTGTCAGGCTGGATTAACTGCCCCGTGACCTCCCTCAGGGTCAGCCCCACCCCTGACCTCCCCTTCCTCCTGGCCTCACCTCCGGGCTGCTCAGGTCACCTTCACCAGCACTGGTGGGACACAAGGACAGGGGCTGTCAGGCTGGATTAACTGCCCCGTGACCTCCCTCAGGGTCAGCCCCACCCCTGCCCTCCCCTTCCTCCTCTGCCCTCACCCGGGCTGCTCAGGTCACCTTCACCAGCACTGGTGGGACACAAGGACAGGGGCTTGGGGGCGGGGGCCTGGGGGCGGGGCCAGGTGCTTTTTGACTACACCCATCACCCTGTGAAAACCTTTGGGGACGAGGGGGGCTAGAGAACCCCGGTCTGCCCGAGGGCCACTGTTCTCCAAACCTGAGTAACAGCTGGCATTTGCTAACCCTGGCATGTGATCCTCACAACAACCTGGGCGCCTCATGGGGGGCGGGGGGTAGAGTACCCGTTTGGGACACAGGCTCTGAGCGGTTCCGTCACAGTCACAAAACTAATACTCCTGGCGGTGCTGGGATTTGAACCCAGGTCTGTCTGAAGAATGGATTCTCTTAATGGGCTTTTCTGCTACTCAGTTTACGAAGATGCCCCGGGGCAGAGTGTCCCAGAGCCGGAGCCACCGAAGCTCCGCCCAGCTCAGCCACCAGGGCTCCTCCCAGGGAAGAGCCAGGGAGAGGGGGAGGCGGGAGGGGCTGGGTTTCTTCCCCAGGGCTGGTCCTAAAA